TTCAGTACCTATAATCTTCCCTGTCCTTCTTAATTTTATTTTTCCTATAGTCACATGGCCCCATAATATACAATTTGTATTTATGTTTTAGTTGTCCTTTTTACCCATTTAGATTCACATGCTTAGATCTCTGTTTTGTACACTGATGTGCTCCAAGTGTCTGAAACAGTGTCTGGTATACAGCAGGTATCCAAGCTCGTATTTTTTAAATAAGTAAAATCTCTGAGGCCAACCCATTGTTAATATATCAGCTCATCCTCTTTAAGCCTAAGTTTATAGTTGGCAATTCAGTTTCATATTGTTTTGAAATTTGGCATTATATACTGAGATTGGATTTATTTACCCAATTTAAACAAAACATATTAAGCTATGTGAAGTACTGTAAGTAGAATTTTAAAAAAAGACTTGAGATACATGACACTATGTTTTATAATTGCATAAATCTTTAGGGCCCTAGATTCATTGGGGAAATTTAACTTGTCAGGTAGTTTATGGTTTGTTCTGTAGGTGGTATTATGTGCAAATGAATTTGCTAAATATATAATGTAGTACAATTTTGCTTCTGTTGAAAGCACATAAGAAATGATCATCTTGATGTAGTCAATGAGTAAAAAAAGAATAAACTTTGAAAAATACACCAGCAAATTATTAAAATCTTTTAGAATGTTAAGGTGCTTTTTTTCTTCTTCTTTTCAGAGACTATGTTTTAGGAGCAACTTCTGCAGTCCCAAATATTCAGTCTAACGTAGAATTGCATTACTTTATTTTTGGATATCTCTCTGCGAGCCTCATGATGGTCTTCCCCTTCAAACACTTCATTACCTTGAACCAGGGCAGGCTTGCTAGTGATCCCAGATTAAGGACTACAGCCAAGGCAGAGGCCATACAAAGTGTCTGAAATCAGATCCACCTCAGCAACAGCTACTGATCACATTGAGAAAAAGAACAATGGTCAGCAGTAAGAGGAATTAACAATTATGAGATCTAAAGAGTGACGTCAAAACTACGGAGCTAGACAAAAATCAGAAGCCTAAATACCAGAAAAATGTCTGAAAACTAAGGGCAAGGTGTGTAGCACAGCACAGAGTGTTACTCACCATAGATAATCCAAAATTTCTCCCCCCAAAAAGGCAGCGAGAGGATAACATTCTCAGTGGGTTCCACTGTACTTCCATCATTAGGGAATGAGAAAAGAATAAGAAGCACAAAGTTGGTGAGGCCTCCAGCCGTCCTGGCGTGGCCCTGGGCAGCTATTAGTTTAAAACAGGCGTCTTGATGGCTACTGCCATGGAGATGCAAGGGTAGTGAGAGGAAAAACCAGGGGCTTTTAAACAACAGAGATGCAAGAAAGGGATTATAAATATTGATTCTCTTTAGTCTTTTCTATTTTTTAAGACTTTATTTTTTTAGAAATAGGGGAAGGGAAGGAGAAAGAGTGGGAGAGAGACATCAATGTGTGGCTGCCTCTCATGTGTCCCCTACTTGGGACCTGGCCTGCAACCCAAGCATGTGCCCTGACTGGGAATTGAACCAGCCAATTTCACAGGCCAACACTCAAACCACTGAACTACACTACCCAGGGTCCCTTTCCTTTTTTTTTAATAGATACAGATTATCAGCCCTCGTTGGGGATGTTAGATGATAAAAGCTGAAATGAGCTATAGGTAATACTCAAAAGTATACTTACTATTCTTATAAAATCTATGGTTTAACTCTGAAAATCTATGGTTTAACTACATGAAAAGTGATGATCAGTTGCTGACCATTTACATGTTTCCACTTCCCAGTTTCTTGCCTTTTCACACACATTATTGAAAAAAGAAATTCTCCAAACTTGTATCCAGTCACACTGGTTTAGGAACTCTGCAGGGTTCGATCCCATGTACATAAGACTAGCATTACAATACCAGTTTATTTTACATCAAATGTCCTTGTAACCCCCATAAAGGTGTATTTATTCAGTAAATATGTATTGATCATCTATAATGTGCCAAGTGCTGTTCTGGGTATTAGGGACACTGAAGTAGACAAAACAACGTCTTTGTCCCCAGGGAGTTTAGATCACAATGTGTAAGTTTGTACAACCTCTCCTCCCACTCCAGGAATACTTTAAATCATCCCCGTGCAGCGCAGTTCTTCAACCCCGTTGTCCATCAGAGGCGTCACAAGCACAGACTCTTCCAGCCCTTTGAATGAGACTCTTGAGGGAGGGATTGGGAAATCCATCTTTTGAACAAGCTCTCTAGGTATTTTATACACATTCATAACATTTGGGGGGAAACCACTACCCTATTCATAGCATACTATCTAAGGAATGGGTGTTTTTCACTGAACTACATCTGTGGGACCTCTTGATTTTCATGACTGTTTCCAAAGTTCTCATCTTTAAATAATATGAAAGTTCTCCAGGGTTTTCCACAGTTAATTCTCTGACCGACTAACAAAGCAGACTTTTAAAAGTATTCCATTTATTTTAAACAAAAATGGTTTTACTATAGGGCAGATATTACCATATTCTGCTTTGGGGAAGAAAAGAATCCAACATTAATTAAAAAGTATGGCCCATAGATCCAAAAGATTCATTTTTAAAGATAAATTTGAGATAATGGAGACCTAGGATGTTTTCTTATCAAAGAGGGCAAGACCAAGTGAATCTTAGAACAAGATAAAAAATATTCACTAATGTAGTTCCGGTTAATGATGATCGGCATAGTCAACATTTAATATTAAACAACATGCACTATCAGTTGATATTCAGCTGATGCAGGCTTATTATGTATCACATGCTATTCTCAGTACTTTAAAGATCTTAAGATGATATAATTTTCAACCCTCTGTGAAATGGGGTTTTATTATTGTGTCCACTTTGTAGAAGAGAAAACTGAGGCATAGAAATGATAAGTAACCTACTGGAGGTTACAGAGCTGGTACATGTTACCCAGGATTTGAACTAAGGTATGGAAACCCATGTTCTCCATGAAACTGCCCCCCTCCTCAGTGTTTACAATACTTCTTTAAAAGACATACCAAAACAGTTTATACCAAAGTATTATTCTAGGAAGCAAGGATTTTTTTTCAAAATCACAGTTTCCCTGACCCAATGCCTCAGTCAGGCTAATTTTCATTTCAATCGTTTTAACATGAAGATAACAATGTTGTTGAGTGGATCATCAGGTTGTTAGAGGTTTAAGCACCACAGAGGCATTGTTCTGAATCTCAGTCCTACTACCTGCCTGCAGTATGACCTTGAGCAAATTACCTCTCCAAGTTTTAGTTCCCTCATCTTTAAAATAAGGTAATAGTGGGACCCACATCACAATACTATTTAAAGATGAAACAGGATACCCTATTCAAAGTACTTAGAAAGTACTCAATAAATATTAGTGTAACATTTAAATATGTAAGATTTAATATATACATAGCAGCATCAGAAAACTGAGCCAAATGATCTCTTGCTTCTTCGACTCACACTAAAAAATGGTTTATTTCTCTTCTAATTTTTAAAAAAATAAAAGGACAAAAACCAAAGCAACTGCAAACCAAGCCACAAGCCAGTAAAGCAATGATGTCTTCTGTAGGAAAACCAGAAAAGCTATGGGACGCATGGATTTATATGTCATTAGCTTTCTCCTTTTCAAAATGTATGTGTTCCAGCATCCCGAGACACCTTGCATAATACGATATAAACACTGACTCCAATAGGTCAAATGGGCAGGCAGTCCGTGTTTCTCTATGGAAAGCTCAATAATTCATTTCCTAAATCCCAGTTCAAAGCCTACACTGAGGTTAAGAAAAATTGACATTCGGTCTGTGAACTTAATGTCAAGCTTCAGAAAAACTCCGTGCAGCCCACGTTTAGCGATTAAGTGGATGCAGACAATAAAGACGTTGCCAGATTGTAAAACAAGACTTGGAAATTACAGAAAATGTTGCTAGTTATTGATTAAGGTGACCATTCAGTTCTTACCGAGCCACCCAAAACAATCATTCATTTTCCAGCAGAGAGCCTGCTCATTTGCAAGATAAAGGAGAGACATTTCTGCACATGCCCATAATGTTCTTCACCACTGGGGGCAGCTTTACATAAGACTGCATTCACTGAAACCAAAGCAACAGTCCGAGCAGCTTTCAGAATGACAGTCTGCAGAAGTGAGCTGAGCGTGTGCGCGCTACAGGGCTCTCCTGCCTCCTGGGCTCCGACGCAGCTCTGTGGCTGAACTGGGTGCTCACCACGAGAAATGCTGGGCTATGGAATACAGATGTGGCAGCTCAGGTAGCCCCACATTGCCTGGAGGAATACATCATGCTTTCCGATAAGAAGAAACTGTAGAAGCCAGTTGTTTTTTTTTTTACACCCTCACCCCCCAAAACTGTAAAGATGCAAAAACATAATATCCATGAAGATCCTATCACCTAGGAAGATTTTGATGTTTTGCTGCAAAGGCGGAGTGGGGATTTATTTGTTCTTGGAGTGTTCCGCGTGGCTGGCAGAGAATAATGTTCCAAAATCGGTTCATCTCCCAAGGGGTCCAATTTTTCTTCCTGGGTGTCAGCGAGCCCTGACTCACTACAGTGCAACTGACAGGGGCTGTCATGCAAGCGGCCCCTAAGCCAAAGCAAAAGACCTAAGGACGACCTTTGAACAATACAAAGGATGGGTATGTTTTGTCATTTTTCTTCTTTCCTTCTTAAAAAAAAACAAAAACAAAAACAAAAAATCCTCTAGTCTGTGTATTACTTCTGCCTTAATTATTTTAGATATCTTGCTCTGCTCTAAGACTACAGATTCAATTGCTTAGTGAACACGTTTGTTGCTTAACTATTAAAAAAAAAAACCTAGAGACTATTCTCTTTAAATGACAAGGAGATGACTGTTTGATGTTAAATGTTATCTAGATTTAAATTTTTAAAAAAGAAAATACATGCTTATTCTTGCTTGATTAAAAATAAATGAATTCTTTTTTGGGGGGATAACTTTTCTGAGTTGTTTTTATTTTCAGGTTTCAATGTAATTAGGCTACTGAGCGGATCAGCTGTAGCACTGGTTATAGCTCCCACTGTCTTACTGACAATGCTTTCTTCTGCCGAACGAGGATGCCCTAAGGGCTGCAGGTGTGAAGGAAAAATGGTATATTGTGAATCTCAGAAATTACAGGAGATACCCTCAAGTATATCTGCTGGTTGCTTAGGTTTGTCCCTTCGCTATAACAGCCTTCAAAAACTTAAGTACAATCAATTTAAAGGGCTCAACCAGCTCACCTGGCTGTACCTTGACCATAACCATATCAGCAATATTGATGAGAATGCTTTTAACGGAATACGCAGACTCAAAGAGTTGATCCTGAGTTCCAACCGAATCTCCTATTTTCTCAACAATACCTTCAGACCTGTGACAAATTTACGGAACTTGGACCTGTCCTATAATCAGCTGCATTCTCTGGGATCTGAACAGTTTCGGGGCTTGAGGAAGCTGCTGAGTTTACATTTAAGGTCTAACTCCCTAAGAACCATCCCTGTGCGCATATTCCAAGACTGCCGCAACCTGGAACTTTTGGACCTGGGATATAACCGGATCCGAAGTTTAGCCAGGAATGTCTTTGCTGGCATGATCAGACTCAAAGAACTTCACCTGGAGCACAATCAATTTTCCAAGCTCAACCTGGCCCTTTTCCCAAGGTTAGTGAGCCTTCAGAACCTGTACTTGCAGTGGAATAAAATCAGTGTCATAGGACAAACCATGTCCTGGACCTGGAGCTCTTTACAAAGACTCGATTTATCAGGCAATGAGATTGAAGCTTTTAGTGGACCTAGTGTTTTCCAGTGTGTCCCGAATCTGCAGCGCCTCAACTTGGATTCCAACAAGCTCACATTTATTGGTCAAGAGATTCTGGATTCTTGGATATCCCTCAATGACATCAGTCTTGCTGGGAATATATGGGAATGCAGCAGAAATATTTGTTCCCTGGTAAACTGGCTGAAAAGTTTTAAAGGTCTGAGGGAGAATACAATTATCTGTGCCAGTCCCAAAGAGCTGCAAGGGGTCAATGTGATAGACGCAGTGAAGAACTACAGCATCTGTGGCAAAAGTACCACGGAGAGATTTGATGTGGCCAGGGCTCTCCCGAAGCCCACGTTCAAGCCCAAGCTCCCCAGGCCGAAACACGAGAGCAAGCCCCCTCTGCCCCCCACAGTGGGAGCCACGGAGCCCAGCCCAGAGACCGATGCTGACACGGAGCACATCTCTTTCCATAAGATCATCGCAGGGAGTGTGGCCCTCTTCCTGTCCGTGCTCGTCATCCTGCTCGTTATCTACGTGTCGTGGAAGCGATACCCTGCGAGCATGAAGCAGCTGCAGCAGCGCTCCCTCATGCGAAGGCACAGGAAGAAGAAAAGGCAGTCTCTAAAACAAATGACTCCCGGCACCCAGGAATTTTATGTAGATTATAAACCCACCAACACGGAGACCAGCGAGATGCTGCTGAATGGGACGGGACCGTGCACCTATAACAAATCAGGCTCCAGGGAGTGCGAGGTATGAACCATTGTGGTAAAAGCGCTCTTAAAGGCTGGGAAATAAGTGGTGCTTTATTGAACTCTGGGGACTACAAAGGGAACATGGTGCCCCTCCCACTCCCTCTCCCTCTCACTTGGCTGGCAAGGCCCTGCCCTGTCCGTTTTAGTGCATTCATAACACTGGTCATTTTCCTCTAGTACATAATCAACCCATTGAAATTTAAATACCACGATCGATGTGAAGCTTGAACTCTGGTTTCATACAATGCCTATTGTATAAAACTCTTTATTGATTCCATTAATGTCACACCAGTTTTGAGATAAAACTTTTTACAATTAATTCCCCACATCTGCTGCTTTCCTGGTAGAACCTAATTGACAGTTGTAGGAGGTTTGCAGATCACTGGCAAATTAAGGAAAAAGTGAATGATCCCAGGTACTCAGACCTTGAACTGACTCCAGGAGAATGCTTGATGACAGGAACATTTGGAGACAGAGCTGTGAAACAATGCTTGGCATAAAAGAAAATTGCAGGAAACCATCAAAAGATGGTGTTGGGTTAAAGCAACAGCAGGAGCAATTTGCAGGGCTGTCTGAGTTATGATAAGGCAAGTGGCGGGGAAAGTGTTGAAAGGTTAAAATGAAAGTAGACAACTGCAAAATGTGAGGCAATGGTAAAAATACAAAGTTTCAGACGTGAAGCCCTGTCTCTGAAACCCATCCCTGTAAAATCAGACTAGAGGTTTCACTGTCAGCCTCTTCTGGTCTCTACATTTCCAAAACAAGTAACTATGGAGCCAAGAAGCAAAATTGAGGAGGCCAATCTCTCCACTGCTCCTCACATCAGAGTTTTCAGAGACGGGGCTTGCAAATGGGAAGGCAGCTTGCTATACCCATGTGGTTGGGAGCTTACCAGCATTTCTCATTCCAGTTCTTTCGAGGACCCTGCTGTAGTCAGTGAAATCATGAGCTTTCTCTGTTTTTCTGTTGGGGATTTGTCAGGCTGTCCCACTGTGTTCCATTCTGTGTCCTGCACACAGTAGTCCTCTACTGACTTGACACCTCACTTAGAGGTGTCAACAGAACGTGGCCCAAGACATGCTTTCCACCGACCACCTCATTACAAAGGATGATTTTGAAAGCACCTTAATAAATGTATAAAATAAATCTCAGAGAAACAAGACCAACCCTCTGGCACTTGTCTTTGCTTTCCTGTTGCTGACATGACTGTGTCTCTGTGCTCATCTGTATTGTGAACTCACCGGTCAGTTTGATTCTGTACAGACCCTGCTGGCAATGTGCAAGCTGCATGCATGGTTTTACGTTGTGGGTGAAAGTTTATTGACTGCAGCACAAAGATGAGAGCTTCTGTGTTTAAGTAACTTTGACCACAGTTCATTAAGATTTTAGAAAAAAATGCCTTTAGTCTGTATCCTCTTTCACCCTCCAAAATAAACAATTCAATTACAGGAGTATACATCAGGAATCGCAACATTAAGTCTGTTTTGTTTAATTTGGCTTGCCAAACCATGTCCCTGTTCTTTCAAAACAGAAATGCTGCAGCGAAGGAAGAAGGAAGGAAGGAAGGAAGGAAGGAAGGAAGGAAGGAAGGAAGGAAGGAAGGAAGGAAGGAAGGAAGGAAGGAAGGAAGGAAGGAAGGAAGGAAGGCTAATTTTACCAGCATTTTTATGTAGTTTGGGGGCTTTTCATATGCTGAGAGGCAACAATCTAGGCAAGTCACCATGAAATATAATTGCAAGGAAGCCAGATTATTTTAAAAAATCACATTTTTATATGCAATAAAGAAAAAGGAACATTTAAAGCAGATTTTGTTTTAATTAAATACTAAACTAGATAGCAGTTCAAAAAAGCAGCATAGCTACAATACATTTACCCATCAGTAACTGTTGACTAGATATTTATTCATGGCAAATTTTCACAGATTCCCAATGGATTAATAATGCAGATACTTCCTTACAGTACTATGAACTGGATGACTGAGCCTACTGTGATGCTTTTTACTGAAGTTGTAATTTTACATTTTTCATAAAATGTCAGTAAATACAAATTACATCTAAAAAGAAGTTTTCTTTGGTCAGACTCATTTTTCTCTGTACTAAAAATTATGGTATTAATTAAATTCAGTATTAAAGTGAAAAAGCCCACTTCTATTCTTTGGCTTCACCTTCTGCCTCATTTGTCATGGATACCAAATAAATTTAGGCAAGGCATATTTACACTCCTATTTTTTATTCTTATAAATTCTCGATGCTGTGGTGCTGCTAGTATATATAAAATATATTTGCTGTATTGAAAAGTGTTTCTAAAATTCAGAGCTACTTGGTGTGTAAGATTAAATGAATATCCAATATTTTAAAGGCTAGTCATTTTTTAATGTACAACTTTAACTCCTTATAGATTTAATGATGAATAAGGACCAAAATAAAAGATAGTGAAAACCTATTTTGATTCAGTACATGAAATTCAAAAGAAAGAAAAAAAAAGCAAAAAAAACACACAACCTTTTCCCCTTTTGGGAATAAGGCTTCTCTAGTTCTTGGTATCTTCTAAGCTCAAACGTAGAATCCTTGTGAGTTAGACAATAACTTACTCTCCACTGTCATTTTAACAAAGCCAGCTGGAGCAGGTTCTCCTCCTGGAAAGCTGTTGCTCTCACCCCTACCCCATGGCACTCTCTGGCCTTCAGATCATAAGTCTATTTTCCTTAGTATTTCAAACTCATTGCATACTGGAGAATAGAATTGATATTCCATTTCCTAGTACAAATTTACAGGAAGTATGTGACTTTCCTCAAAGGTAGCAACAATTAAATAAGCAGCCTGACCTGTTGAACTACAGAACAGAGAAACATCCAGGCAGGGGGTCAGTCCATGAGCGCTTCACCGGAGAGGAAATGCAGTGGAGTCTCTGAAACGCTGGGGCTTCCAGTCCCGGCACCCTCAGCGCCACGGCAGCGTGCAGTTAATAGTCCCCGTGCCACGGTCTTCCGAGCAATACTGATGCAAGATATATGCTTTTTAAATGAGTTTATATTTTCTAAGGAGGTTTACATTACATTTTTTTTCTACAAATTTAAACCTTTTCATCTCTTGATTTGGTGAGTCAACTACCTAAGCCGAGGCGCAATAACTGGATTTCTGTGGAGCAGCAGTGCCCTCCTGTGGCTGGTTAGACTAACCACAACTATCCATACATTTTTATATAGCTTTTTAAACTCCTGAATCTACAGAAATGTGGTCGACAATGTCTAGTTTTTGATCTATGAATCGGATTTGCACTTACTGAGCTCATTGATAGTGATAGTGTTATTTTTCTTAAGTTATACAGGGTCCGGCAGAAGTAGCACCTGCCTTATTGTGGTTGGTAGGCTAATAATGTGGGTATAACAATTTATAGTTTAATTTGAACATTTCACCTAAAATGTCATATGGTGTGCTTGAGTGTGATATTGTTACGTTGCAGAGTTCCACGCTTACGGTGTTGTAATAGAAGATTTTGTAATGAGCAAGGGGTGTCATTTGTGCCAGACCCTGTATTTTGCCTATCGACTTATTTAGTAATGCTCAAACAGAGGCCACAAAACTGGTACCGAGGGCTCAAAATAAGTGCTCAAAAATGAAGAGCAAGGGATGATGTAATAAGAGTGGATAAGAAATATTTTAAACCCTTTGTACTCATTGATGTTGGCCAATTAGATGTATTTCCATGAAATGCTTTACCATTTTCCATAGGCAGGATACTGAAATATGATGTAATTTAGGCTGTGAAGAATAAACTTTAATATTAATGTTGAAAGAATCAGCATCAGTTACTTACTAGTCAGTAGGAATGTGTGAGCTATCACGTGAGGGAAGCTTCCCTTCTGGCTCCAGGACTCTCCACGTTGTCCATCAGTCATGCCAGTGACCTGTGCTCTGCCCCACGGCTCCCTCCCCTCCCCTCCTCCTCCCTCCCCATTTCCAGCTTGCTGAACACTGGTTCTGTTAGATGGTGATGTTACAGTACAGGAGGCGATGATTCATGGATAATGAGATTATGCTGTCCTTCTGGGGAAGGATAACGCAGAGTCAGATTCACGGACTTGGCAAGGGTTTTTAGGAAGCTGTAGGTGCATGCACTACCTCCTTTTCCTTTGACACTGACCAAGAAGAGAACTTAAACAGTTTATCTAAAGTGTGAATTAGATTAAGCACCAAAAACAAGTATCAGGCCACGAAGCCTAACACAAAATGTATTCCACACATGGCACGTGGGAACTGAACCACGAGACATAAAAATTTCAGAAATGGTGTTTCTTCTTGCATTCCCTTCCCTCTGGATTCTCAGATCTTGGGTCAGAGCAAATGCTATACTTGTTTTGTTATACTTGTATTCTCTTAGCTATGTATATTAAAACTCAGAGGCAACTGGAAGATACTATGAACATGAAAAATAATATCAGTAAATTTGAATTATATATGTTATAAGAGAAACAGAATCAATGAAAGCTAAATAGCTTGTATTAAATGACTCTTGAAAACTAAAAAAACACAGGTGAAAGGGACAGTTTCTCTCAAACCCAAATTTTGCTTAGTCCCCAAAATTATTGATGATTTTTGCATAGTTGAATAGACTACAATAGAAATACTACAGAGAAATCTATATAACATATTTCTTTATTTGAGGAAAATATCACAACCATACATGGTAGGGTATAAGTCTTAGATTCAAGGTTCTCTGACACTTGCTAATCAAATGATCTCAGACAAATTATTAGCTTTTCTGAACTTGAAGTTCCCCATATGTAAAACGGGCATATGTTGTTGACTTCACATGGTTACTGGGAAGGGAAAATGTGAGAAGTGCTTTATTATCGCTAAAACAGCAAATGGCTATTGTTTTCAAAGAGCACTTAGAATGATACTCAGCAGTGTTTGCCAGTGTTCTACATTTGGTCTGGGTTAGAAAGACATAAGTACCTCTATGTTACAGAAGCCCAGATCCATTTTACATTTATATCAATTC